TACTTAATGATTTGTATTATACCTATTTGTAATATTTATTATTCTCGTTTATTGAATAAACAACAAATTAAGTGTTACGTAATTTTTGAAGTTAGTTAATATTTTTTTTTGTTGTTCTACATAATCCGAAGCACTTACAGGTATGCAAATTTGTGAAAGGAGGGTTCAAGGTAAACATTTTAATAATTCTAACTATGTCCTGAAGTCTATACCATGCGACAACTAATGTTGTAAGTATACCTACCTACTTGAGATGCTTGAGAAAGGTTTGTATTTAACTACTGACTAGTGTTTTAGTTTCTTTCAGTTAGTATTTAAATATTTTATGCCGGATCAGTATTTAAACCCATATGGTCAGTATTCTTTGGTGGTCATTAATTAAATGTAAGCGATCTAATTGTAAGTAAGTACGTAACAAACAAAGTAACCTAAGGTAACTTGACCTAATCAGTAAGAAGATAAACATACTAATTAATTCTGTTTTGTATTTTCATTTGACATCACTAATTTTCCTACTGACTGCTAACTACTTGTATAGGTACTGAATATTTTGGTAATAAAATGTTAAAGTTAATTAACAAAGAACTTTTAGACACCTTTATTGTGTTATCGCTTTCTGCTCCTATACCGGATGTTTTGTCTAATAAGCAGGTTCGCAAGACGGCAGCGGTGGACAGCAGCGAATAAAATATTGTTTTTTTTAAAAAGTCAGTTCTAGATCTGCCTTCTGTACAACAGTACATGTTCTATTAAATATATTTTCTTTTATTATTCTTGGCTATTATCACTGTGTATCATTACTGGCAATACTCAACATAAAATACTTCATCATCATCACCATAAGGTTGTAAGTCGTAAGACTGGTTGGACACGCATCTTCACTTTTTCCTATTCTAAGCTAATCTTTGCATTTTCATAAAACTACAACATCCCTCATCCTTAACTATTTGTGAACAGTAATCTAATCTAAGTCTACCTCTACTCTTCTTAATTCATGTTTCTGCTTTTAATATGTCTCTAACTGGCCCTTCATGCCTGAGAAGGCGTCCTGCAGCCTATCTATTCTAATTTTTATTGACATCTGCAACGCCCTCTGTTCTCCTATTTTTTAACATCTCATTTCTAACTTTCCCAATCTACTGTTCCATCATCATCATCATCCCCCTATAACATCACGTTTCGAACGCTTCTATTCTTTTCCACCTCACCTACCGTCATATTTCGACCCGTATGGCATCGCGTTCAGACATACACATTTAACAACCTTTTTCAAATTTCTAAATTAACCGTTCGCGAGCATAGATGTGACTTCCTGTTGGAGACGTCTTAATCCTGCACTAACGTCTTTTTTGTATCTCTACTAATCCTTCCGTCTGAAGTTATCTGACTTCCTAGATACCGAGAAACAGTCACCCCTGTCATTATATTCACTTTTCCCTACTTTGTCTTACCTTGCATACCAGTATTTTTGTTTTACATATATTTACTTATTTTCATACATATTGTTTTGTCAATACCACTTCCATTTTTTTAAAGCTATCTCTAACTCCTCCTTTCTAGATGCTGATACTGCTATATACTCTGCAAATTAATTTAATAATTGAGAATTTAATGCTTTGCCGTTTAGAAATAAAAAATTACACACTACGCATTAAAACATTTAATAGCCAGTATAAATTAGTCTAATCTATTTTCTGAAGGATGTTTTCTTTTGTCATGGACAATAGAATAGTTCATATTTTTGAAACTTTCTGAAGTTCACTTTGAGGATTATTGAGCAACTTTTAATTATGAACATTTGCTGCATTCTCATCATTGGAAAGTCGTCAGTCTCACTGAACAGTAATCTGATTTATGTCTTTCTCTGTTTCTGTTTATGATAAGCTTGTATGTAGATAATTCTTTGTTTTTGACTTCGTAGATATCGAAAGTCGACGATTTTTGTAGTTTTTCGTTTTTAATTTTTATATTAGATCTACAATAAATAACCTTAATTTCACCTCCTTTTTTGTTTTATTTTCGTTGCTGTCCCTCTTTTTGCCAAGTGTTTGATTGATGTTATATCGCTGTCTCCAAAACGAGGATTTTAGATCTTTTTCGGCATTCTTTAATTTGTCAGAAAAACAGTCTACTTGCACACAGTATTAGCTGAAATTATTACTTGTTATTCATAACTTTTTTTATTTATATCAACCTTTTTCTATTTACAATAACATGTTTGTTTCTACAAAATGTAATTTGTAAGATGGTACATAATTTAAAAATAACTGCTTTGTTTAAAACATCCTTTTTGGCAATTGCTAGGTATGTATCGTTGGTATAAAAATAAGTTCTTAAAATTGAATATTTTGGCTAATTGAAGAGTGTAACATAAAATCTAAGGGTGGTTTGAAGCATTTACAATGTTTTGTTTATTATTATTATGTTCACTATTTTNTGACAACAGCAACAAATTTTTCCTCATTAATTTGAGGAAGTGTGTAGTGGGCAAAAAAAAGAATTCAAGAAATGAATTTTCAGAATAATATTTCAAATAAAATCTCTGTTGTGAAGTACTTCTGATTTAAATTATCAAAACTCCTGATGTCTGGTGCTTACACAAGAGGAATCTATGTAGCAAATCACCACGCACTTTTAATTAGAACTATATACAAAGTAGGAAGCATTATAAAAGTCTGCACTGTAAAGTACTCTATATTATTATACATAAGCCAAATTATGTGCGTCTGTTTTTGTTAATATTAATTAATGGATACATACATTCATTAAAATTGCAAATTAGATATACAAGGGTATCAGAAGAAGACCTCGTTTAAATGGTGAATGCTCCCAATCGGTAGAGCTAATATTTGGTGAATTCATCACTTGTTATGGTCAAAATATTGTTAAATTATTTAAACTGTGTATGGCATAAAGAGGGCATGTACTTATGCACTACTACACACATCTGCATAGAGACGTGTATGTAATGATTGTCATATTGTAAATCTGCTTAAGTTTTAAACAGAGTCATGCAGCGAATTTCGGTTTAATATTTCGAGGGTTATTTGTATGTGGTTTAAACCTTTGAGTTGCTTCGTACATGGGAATCCCTTCTTTTTGAAGCTCTCGAGTAATTTAGCATTTGGGCTCGACCTGTTCTTCCAGATCTATATCTACACAATATAATGTCATTTTTAGCAAACTTAACAGAACGTACTGCTTTTTAAGGCCCAGTTCAGTACGCTAAGGTGCGTATACGTCTGAACACGAATACGTTCGAGACAACGCAAGGCGGACAAATAGATCTTCTACTGTGGATGAACCAAGTGGCATGGCTTAGAGGTTTAGATCATTGCTTAGCATTTGGGAGGATGGTTTGATTCCGAGTTCGTCTGCCTTGATCCAAGTTTTTCTCTGGGTTCACTGGGGCAGTAATATTCCACAGATAATCTTTCATTCTCTTCTATCTTCATTTCATCCGTGTCATCTTTCTCACCCGAACCACCATCCACCCATTCCCATAATTCCAGAAAGGAGGCTGCCATCCGCCTTACCTTCCGGCGTATTCCGGAAGAACTGTCCGCCCACCAGTATTAGTGGCTAAGCAACAACAAGAATTGAAAGTGTTATGTTAAATTAAATGCCAAGCTGCTGAAATTGCTCGCGATGAGTCTACAGCTTCTCCAAAAAAGAAATTGGAAGTTAAACTTTTCAAGTGTCTTTTGGACACTACCATAAATTCACTTAATGAATGATTTGAATAGTTAAATGAATACTCGGAATTTTGGCCTTTTCTGTACAACATGAAAGAGATTCCGGAAAAACCAGATCTTCTTCTGTGGATGAACCGAGCGGCATGGCTCAGAGTTTTAGACCATTGCTTAGCATTCGGGTGGACGCTGGTTCGATTCCGGATCCGTCTGCCTTGATCCAAGTTTTTCTGTGGTTTCTTGGATCGCTGCGGCAGTAATATTCCACAGATAATATTTCATTCTCTTCTGTCTTCATTTCATCCGTCCCATCTTTCTCACTCGAACCACCACCCACCTATTCTCACGATTCCTGAGAGGAGGCTGAAGAGAGCCTTCTGTCCTACCTTCCGGCGTAGTCCGGTGGGACTGCCCCGTATCGTTCTGAGACTGTTCACCTCTATTCGTTTTGAGTCGGTACTTTAAAGAGAATTTGATTTGATGTGGGCGTCATTTAAACGCACTTACCTCGTTTGCATCGTTTTATTAAATGCTCGTTACCAGCCATTACCTACTAACGTAAATGAATATGAAATGAAACAAAATGCGGCACATGACCGAACGATTACTGCGTTCGTTGACTCAGCCAACTTCGTACAAAGAGGGCATTTGTTCCAGTTAGCCTTTCCTGAAATATGTTTGTTCAGATATGTATACGCACCTTTAGATGTTAACTCAGAATAGAACATTTTTAACTGGCATGAAGTATTGTGTCACTTACCCACCTGATTTGACCAAACCTAACCTAACCACATGTCTGTTACACTAACATTAATTCAAGGAAAATAAAATTGTGATTTATAGATCCTATTGTTTTGGCATTAAGGCAGGTGAAATTTAAATTAAATAAATTTATTATTAATACCAGTAGAAAACACCTTAAGTCTGATGAACTTTGCAAAAAGCATCGACAGGTTCGATTCCTGGTCGATATACCTAATACTTTTTTCTTCTCATGTTAATAATTATAACATAAATTGGCTCAATAATGACTACACGTAATACTAGTTAGACCATTTGAATTTGATTATTTGCTAATAGAAATGGGTTCGTCATTCGGGTTTCATGGTCCGGATCCAAGATTTGTTCTCTTACTTTTCCTATACTTCACGAAACGACTCCAACTGGACTGAAGAAGGAGAGCCAAAACTGGACCATAACCATTAAACCCGAATAACACCGAAGACCTTAGTCTTTTCATATGAAAGAAAATTTTGTACTGAATGGAATTAAATGAATAAATGATGCCTAATAATTTCTTATTTTTCTAGGTATGAACTTCCACAAGATCAATTCGTACAAAACAAAAGTTTGTTTGCAAACATTGCCATTGAGGATAACGACTGTTCGAGAATTTTTGCGTACTTGGCAGACATATCGTCACCAGGTCTAGTCGTTTACTCATGGAAAGACAATGATTCGTGGTTAGTAAACCATAACTACTTCAATATTGATCCACTCGCTGGTGAATTTAACGTTTCCGGCATAGTATTTCACTGGAGCGATGGTATATTCGGTATGGGCTTGTCAGAAATAAAACCTGACGGTTCCAGCGACTTGTACTTCCATCCCATGACGAGTACAGATGAGTTTGTTGTGTCCACGAAATTCCTTAAAGATAAAGCTCTTTCTCAGAAAAGCAATGGAGAGTTTAGACATCTTGGTAGCCGTGGACCAAAAGGTCAAAGCAGCGTTTCGTTCTTAGACAAAAAGACTGGAGTTTTATTTTACGCTTTGATAAATTTAAACGCCATTGCTTGCTGGAAAACCACGAATCCACGGTACACAATGCAGTCACAGGGAAGGGTTTATATGAGTAACGTGACCATGGTGTTTCCGAGTGATATAAAGGTCGATTCTGATGATAACATGTGGGTGTTGTCCAACAGGTTGCCCACATTTATGTACAAGGGGTTTAATGCTAGCGAAGTAAACTTTAGACTGCTTACGGCTCCTGTGAAAGATGCCATTAATGGTACTGCGTGTGACGCTAAAGGAATCGTTACTCCCGAAATGAAAGCCAAAATGAAGAATCATTTGGACAGCATAAACCCCCCGAAATCGACCCCCAAAGCAGGTCAAAGTGGAAGCGAGGGCATTAATAGCAGATTAAATGCAGTACTAATTCTCTTGGCTGTTTTAAATTTATTAATGATGCACTAAATTTTTAATTCATTGTTGCGTTGCTTGTTTGTTTTTTTTTTGTTTGTTTCTAGTGTTATCAGTCAAATGTTTATTATGGTAAGTGCAGCTTAGATTTCCTGTATTTTATTAATGTCAGCAATTTTTATTGTTTTTACAATTTTGTTTCTTTGTACTCGAGCATGACTATTTTTTTCCTGATTGTGAAAGTGGCTTAGAGATCTTTTGAGGTTATGAGTTCCTCATTTTTGTTGTTGACTTTGTAGTCACTTTTATCGACATTCCTTAGGGCTTCATAGATATTTTTCTTATTGAAAAGTGAACTAGGAAAATTTGTATTGTTAAAAAATTCGATTTCGAACGAACGGTCCTCAGGACTTCAATGATTATTAACTAAATTACAAATAAACATTAAAGTTAACAAATGTGATAAATATACATATACATATATAATTAATTATTTATCTTTAAGTTACGAATTTGCATAATTAACTAAGTATATACATCGGGACGCACATTGTGCCGGCTTGAAAATGAAAATTTGAAACCGCATACGTTAAACACTATACAATACATAACTTTTTATATTCTATAGAAACGAAAATATAATAACGCATAACCTAAGGCCACATAATTTTTGGCTAGTATTATCACGGAACTTGAAACGGTGGGGCTCACCCTTGGCGCGCGCAAAAAGAACCTGGATACGTCCCTGTACCTATGAGCATAATATTCTTTAAATTATATAACATCAAAAATAATATATTCATACTACACAAAAGTACAGCGTGGTTGAAATGCATTACTCAACCCTTGTTGTTTAGATATTGAAAAAGATTTGAAGAATATGAAAAGGAACTTGGTGACGTTTCCTTGTAGGTACAATTTTCGATTTTTTTTAAATAAAATTCAGTGAAGTTCACTTTGTTTATTTTCGTTATAAATTTGAAAAATCACGCTTTTTGATGGATTCTTTTATTACGAATGGTTTTGTTTTGTTTTCAGATGAATAAAAAACAATCTGATTGAACGTTTACATCAACGATTACAAGTGTACGTTTCACATTTGTTTAATATTTCGGTTAATAAGGCGTTTCTGTTTACATGTAATTGTTCTATTGTTGTTTCGCATGTTTATAAAAACTTGAGCTTAAACAAAGCTGGAAAACGAAATGCAAATATCACGTTCAATGGCAATTAAATGGTAATGTAATATACCTAGATACATTCGCAAATTCAGTAACACCCAAGTCATTGTTTGACACATACAGGGTGATTTATTGATAAACCACGATCGAGTTTCTTTTGTTTCTACGCAATTTCACCGTAACTTTAAATCATACACGTGTGATTTATAAATATGCATTTTGTTTAGGAAAAATGTCACAAAAATAAAAAAAGGCTCATTATTATTTATTATTAGTATCTAATAATTTCTCACATATCTGAAAAATATTTAAAAAAAAACAGCTTTACAATTTTTTGTTTTTGGGGGTTTTGATGAAGAATACATAATCCTAGTTAGATTATATTGGGTTGTGTTAATTCTGAAACCTTTTTAAATTGTTCGCATTGAAATAATAATGGTAGGTTATAACATCGCAGGTACCTAATAGAAAAGAATTAACTTCCAAAATAACATTAACAAAAATTTTCAATAGTTTCAAAATAAAAAAGAAAACAGTGGTACCAATACCTATATAAGAAGAAAAAGCTGGAAGTTGTATTACCAATAAATAATACCAAATAAATGGGGCAGCAAATAACCAGCAACACC